TTGATAGAGAAGAATTCGTGTTAGGTTTGTTGTAGTGAGGGAAACAGGCCAAGTTTAGGCACATTTTGACGTTTCCGGATATCCACGTAATTCCCTATGCTAATAAGTATCACGCAATAGAACCACTCATTCGCGAGCGTCACGTCATAAAAGAACTTTCATATAACCAAGAAAAATACCAATGAAAGGCATTTTGGAGACGGAAATTATACTTTTGAGTTCATGAAAATCAGGTACAGGTAGGTATGTAAAAACGCATTCTTCTCATGGAACAAGAAACAGTTTGCTCTTTACAAATCCTATTCGACAGAATTGTAACGTTTTACGTCGTTAAACGCAGTAGTGAGCTTGTTCGACAGTATTTGTTTTACTACACCGGCAACTAGATGGCGCAAACACGTATATATAGATTGCGTGCTACATGCTGCCACTTTTCTGTGCCACGCCGTACAGCAAAAATGTCGCAACAATTCCCATCGAAGGTTGACTTTGAGCGCATACGAAAATTGGCAGTCAAAGGGCTGCCGCATGAGTAGTAGTAGTATTTTCAATATTAGCCAAGTCACTCTCTGGATACTTATTTATAATAGAACAATGCCTAGAGCCAAGCAATGTGTGCCAAAACGGTCCACAAGCAAGCACGAAGACGACTTCATTCGTCGGACACTGCAGAGGTATTATTATATGCCCCTTAAGGCCCCTTACATGGAACATCTGTCAATGTTTTCTTTGCGCATAATTAGAAATAGGATGAAAGAACTCGACCTCTATCAGCAAAACGCCATGACAAAGCCATTTTAAGTTGGAAACTTATTAGAGAACCTTTTTTGTTTGCTCAAAAATATATTGATCACAGACTTTCATTTTGGAAAAGCATTTACCTTTGCGATGAGGTCTTATTTTTAGACAAGTCTCCGAAGTCGGGCTAGGTGATCATATGTGGGAAGGATTTCCTACGGGCACACATTCTATCGACACCAGCTTTCAAGTACTGTCGACGCCTGATGGATTGGATGGTCATCAAATTCGGAGAGCGGTCGATCTGGCGTTCAACAACGGGCACAATAAACAGCGAGGTGTTTGTCGGCATCGTTAAGGATGCCTTCGGTTACAACGATATTCATCGACGTCGAATGGACACCGTACTTTTGAAGGATAATGGCCCTGTTCGCTGCTTAAAGGACGTATGATTCCAATTCAGCTTACGATCATAACCTAATATTTTAAGCCGCGGCCAGCCTCTCCGCCTGCGGTTTTCGAAGCATTTTTATTCCAGCCAATAGCCCGGACCTGAATCCAATCGAAAATCTTTTTGAATTAATCAAAAGGTTTGGGAAAAGGTAAGAAAGGCTCCTTCGGTGCAGCAAAAGTGGGATTTTATGCTTAATAATTACATGGACCAAACCATCATAGACAACTTATTAGTCTCTATGTCCTCCACCCTTACAGCAACTTTTACAGCCAAAGGACAATCGACAAAGTACTAAAAGATTGTATTTGTTACTATTTTTCATCATTTTGTCGACGTATGACAGTTTCCTCCTCAGCTGGCAGATATATCAGACCTTAAATGATCTGTCATAAAGTGGCTTTTTTAATTTGGTGGTTCTTCATAAAATAGATTATTTCTTAGTCAATAACTAGCACTGTATAAACCAAACTGTGCCTTATTTCGGAGCTCGGTCGTGTATTTAGCGCAGTATAACTTTTTTGGATGCGGGGTGGACGGTTCGTGCACTGCAGCGATTCTAGTTTTCAGTTCGTGACCTTGAATGAGATAGGTCACAAACTGTACCTTCCTCCAGTCGGGGTGGTTGCTTGAGCATTTTGGAAGGATTGTCACCCCTAGATGGTGGACGAGTGCTGTTCCCTGACAGTTGCACTTCTCTCACTTACCTAGCTTGGTTAGAGATTTTTCAGCTGATTTCGCAGGATTTCCGTCGTTCATTAAGTCAATTTTTAACGCAGTTGGTCTCGTCTTCTGAGACCCGAATAGAACGTATTTTCGTGATCTAAATCTAGAGAAACATCTACTCTGTAGCTCGCCATGGCTAGGCTCTGCCTAGCGGCCACACCCTGGCAACCGCTTCAGCTGACGAACTAAACCATATGAGGATATTTGATGCTGGGTACGTCCCGTAACCGGTAATCTTGTTCTCATTTTTATCCCTCCCTTCCCCTCCACTTCAAAACGACCTAAGGAGAGGCCGACATACAAACGCTTGGGCAGCCCAGGATAACTTGGGTCGCTCTCCCACTGACGTAAGCCGCGACGCATAGTGGAGTTCGGCAGCCGTCTGGAGCAGCCCTACCTGGAGACAGCACTGGCTATCCCCTCGCGCGGAAAGGTGCACTAAAAAAATGCTGGGATCGCACGTCATCTGCGTGCAGACCGTGGCTCGCAGATTTACTACTGACGGTCGAAACAAGTAAACAAACAACCCCGACACCACCCCCCCCCACCCACCCAATCCCAATGGGTGCTGGAGTGAGTTCGCCCGAAAGGCTGTCAACTGGTGAAATTATTCGGGATCCACAGTCAACCTAGTGTAGGTTTGTGTGGAGTTGTCGACTGGTGGACTGAGAGTCAGGCTGCAATGGCTCCGTTTTAACGTGCCTCTATGGCACTCCCACACTGTCGGATACGAGCCACCCCCACTCCCCTTCTTTTCGTTGTTGTGTAGAATCCTGGTCCGTGTACGCTGTAAACCAGGGGGTGTGCTGGTATGCCTAGGGGCGGGTTTTCTCTGCACCAACCACCCGCGCCTTCTCCCCCCGACTCCGCTCTTCTTGATTCTGACATAACACCGGATCCAGGTGGAGAGGGGGGAGAACTCGGTAGGTGTAACGCAAGCCTATCATCCCCATAAACTAATCCACGCGCAAGTCACCATCCCTGCCCTCCACCCTGCTGTGAGTATATGATTGACGTCGTCGGACGTATGCACCGGTTGACGAAGTTGCGCGGGTATCCATTGGCTTTGAAGACCCGTCGGAGGTATTGTAGTTCGGCAATCTTATCTTCCTGCTCACTGCAGTGCGTTTCGACACGCCGATAGAGCGTCCTTACACAACTGCCTTTGTGGCTGATTGGGTGTCTGCTGTTGAAGTTCAGTACTTGCGTCGTATTTGTCGCTTTCCTGACCACTTTGATTTTTAGTCCACCCCAATCTTTGCGGCATACGATGACATCCAGGAAGGCCAGCTGGTTGTTCTCTTCCCCCATCGTAAACGTCCGGGAAGACCGCATTCAGATGTTCCTTGAATGTCAGCAGCTGATCCCGGGCGATAATGACGAAGATATCATCCACATACCGTACCCAGAATTTCGGTCTGTGGTGTTGGAAGACCAGCGACTCTAACCGTTGCAGGACCGCCTCGGCGATGAATCCCGAAATCGGCGAGCCCATTGGTGCCCGTCACCCTGTCCCGTCGAACGTGAAGTACGTCCTAAGACAGAACTTCAGGAGCTGAAGGACTTGGGCGTGTGCAAGGCGATTCTCCGTTTCATCGTATTTGCTTTGCAGAAGCAGCTGGATTGTCTCGAGAAAACGACTGCGTCCTATAAATACTGCAGCCCCTTTTGCATGAGCCACCCGTATCTGCTTTTGTCTCTGATGATGGGTTCGAGCAGGATTCCGAAACGTCAGGTTAGCAAAGCTCTTGTCCACGCGATCGTGTCTCCTGCTTCAAGAGACCGGGATGGTCATCCCTGGCTTATTAGTCGTCATAGGCCTGCCATACCGAACTCTAGGTCTGGATGACCTTGGATTCGAGCCCAGGTTCTTTGGTGATTGTTGGGTATTTCACAGTCCCATCATCGTGTCACTCGTCGGTTGTGGTCGGAAATATTAATTATGGTGGAGGGACGTTTGCCGATTACGTTATAGGACGTGCCTCACTTGTTGTGCCAAGACTAAACATCCCCTTCTTGCAAGTACCACGCTTGTCAAACATGTGCGGTTGGAAAGCAAATCCGCGGACTGGGTGGTCCGATGAAACCCTGCCTCATTCGTCACAATCGCCTTATCCCTGCAAAAATGCGAAGCAATCTTCTCTTTTCTAATTTTTAACTCCATTTTGGGGAGTGGACAGAATTTCTGCGCTTGAGAGAGGGACACTCTGAAAACTGAATGCATGCAAGTAATTGCTTGCAGATGCACAAACCAGCAGTGTCTCGCAGATCGGACGGGCTCTACCACACACACACGGTGCCATGCACTCGAGAAAATTACCCAAAATGGTATATTTCGTTAGTTACACAACCCATGCTTGTAGAAATTTTACCTGACCAGGGTGATGCGAGCAACTTCGAGGACTGGACACGCATGCACCAATAAGACGGATCACTGCGCGAGTTTCGAGAGGGGATACCAGCCCCCAAGGTTGGGCGGGGAAAGTCTACTCATTCAAATGAGCCACAGACCTAGTTAAGGGCTCTACACCCGGGGAGTCGAATGTCTTCTGAGTTAGCGTCATCCAGACACCGATAACAGAGGAAAAGACAGTAGAAAAACAGTAACTTTTAAAGAAATTGACATGTTGTCGGATAGAAGCATATACAGGTACACAAAGGTGTTTGTTTAAATTCCTCAGTTGCAACGTGCGTGATTATGACAGAGGGTCAGACACTGTACATAAGGACTGCATATGTGGGTTGGAAGCGACAGAGAGGACAAGGTGAACATGCAAAAATGGACCCCGCGAGAGCAGTATATAGTGAGTGAAAAAAAAATGGAAAAAAAAACGCACATACAAGTGCACGCGCATACACACAGACACACATGGTTTTTATTTTTAGAAATCGCAGCCACCACCACTTCCATCGACTTTTAGAACCCCTCTTTATGTACACACCGTCATGAAGAAGGTTTTAAATTATGAATTCAAACAGACGTAGAAAAAAAGGAAGGAAGGAAGGTTATGTTATAAGAATCTGACGAAGGTTGTGGAAAAGGGGGGGGGGGGTGGGGACGACAGAGAGATGGATGTGGTTCTTGCTAGGCCTCGGAAGCGACCCCACCGAATGTGGGGCCTCGGAAGATGCGAATGTCCGAGTAGGGTCCGTCTTGGGACAGCTCGACGGCTCCCTGCTTACGCAACAACAGGACGGTGTAGAACTTTGAAGCGGCCTACAACAGCGCGAAAGGAATACTGGTTGATTAGTTCGACTTGAATGCCGTAGGTACCGTTCTGTTACTTGAGAGTATACTTAAGTATTGGACTAAACGGGAAAAACGTGGTCAAAACGTTAACTCTGGCGGAACCAAGTTATGATGATTTTACTGATCGAAGATGTGGGGTGACTAAAAAAGGTGCCTTCAAACTAAAAAGCCTAACTTGAAGCAATATTTCCCCGGATGAATTTGAAGCAAGCGCTGACAGTAGAATTTATTGGAACCAATAAATTTCGCGACGGCTTATCAACTGCAGCCCTGTGGTTTGCGTAACCCCTCTGCGTGCTAACTTCTCCGTTTTCTCTCCTATGTTGCGTTTTCAAGTTAACATCTTATTTGTTAGTCTGCATAAAGTATACGATGACCTTGTTGTTTTATATTGATTTTCTTTGTGAAAGTTCAAATCTCTGCATCTTCCACATTTGTTATCTCCGTTATGCAATGAAAGGGCTGCCATTGATAAGCCATCGCGAAATGTACTGGCTCCAATAAATTCTACTGTGCATGCTTGCTTTAAAGAACCTAAGCAAATCAAGGAATTGCTTTCAAATAGGCATGAGGGGTATCTGAATTAGGGAGATATTTGACGATCCCAGGCACCGTTTCTCCATGAACCCTATATGGTCCCCCTTTATTACCGTTGAGAAATCTGTGGTTTTCCGTACGCGGAAAATAGACGGCTTGTAGTTTGGAAACCCTGATTCCAAGTGTGACGGTAGGGCGACTTCAAAATTATTCGGGAATTGGAAGGCTTTTTAAAAACCGAATTATGTTCCTCCTTCAAGCATAAAATCAGAAGAACATGTAATTATCTACCGAATGAGCAAAAGAATGGATATTTTATGTATGTTTTCCATGAAATACAATTGGACTATTAGAGGCATCGAAACTCAATGAGAAAAATTCACGCTACTTAAGTAGCCATTTTTACAGTGTAGTTTTTTACAAGCAGCCGGCAGGAAGTTCATTCGAAAGCCGACACCCTTAGGTAACTGAAATATTATAGAATTATGCTGCAGGCTGACTAGTTTGACAACCCTGCCTAATTAATCTTTTCGAAACGAAAACGCATTTCGGAATTTCGGTTGATATTTCATGAGTTAGCCCACCTACTGTACCTACAGTAGATTGCCTAAATGGTTTAATATTGTGATCGAAATTTGGGTGGTTAGTATGGTGTAGATCAGGTCTTGTTATTTTTGCTTGCGGAATTGATTTGAGGTGCAGAAAGTTATATATTAAAGAAAGCATTAAAAATTTGTTTCATAAAAAGAAAAGAGGTCTGATTTGGACGAAATTCGACGTTCCCTGATATCCAAGTAATTCCCTACGTTACTGAAACTCACAGGGAAAACCTCTTATTTGTGAGTGTTTTACTATAAATAAATATCGCGAAAGCAAGACAAGCTTCATATGAATTCCTTCTGGAACCGGAAAATCGAATTTTGCATCCATGGTGAAGGCAGGTATGAGAAATCATAGTTTTCAATAAAAAAAAAAGGTAGGGAATGAATTCAACTTTAAAAGTCTGTATTTGCGAATTTGTGGCAGTAATTTCGGTTGCCATACCGACAACTGCCAAAAGTAAACAAATATACATTGAGTGCCCTCGCCGCTGTTCCGTGTCACGCCGTGCAAAAAAACATGTCCGAGCAGTTTCTACCTGCAGGTGTGACTACGAACGGAAACAGAAATTAACGGCGGGAGGGTTGTCGCTTGGGTCGTTGGCAAGTATTTGTGCCATTAGGACGGTCACTTTGCGTCAGACTATCAGCAATGACAGAAGCGTCCCTAAACATAGGCAGGGCGGTCCACAAGTAAGCAAGACAGGATTTTATTCGTTGTACACTAAGTACCATTATATGCCTGCTGCGACCATTTATATGAAGCATCTGCGGATGAAGAAAATCAGGAAAAGGATGGATGAATTTTAAATTTAGTAACAAAAGACAATGATCAGACCGTTGTTAAGTAGGAAACTGAACAGAGAACTTGTTTACTACTTAAGGATTATACTGATTGTAGAGTCTCATTCTGCGAGGGCATTTACTTCTGTGATAAGGTCTTATTTTTGGCTAAGCCACGGAAGTCGACCAGAATGACAATGTTCCTGACCATCGTTTTAAAGAAGTGTGGATTTGATGATGCTCGCAGTTATATTCTAACATTTTAGCCAACAGTCAGCGTCCCCGCATGCTGCCGCTAATGAATTCCGATTCCTGCCAACAGACCGGATCTTAATCCTAGCAAAATCGGTTTTGCACTTATCACAAAAAAAGTAGCACAAGGCAAAAAAGAATCTCTCGGTGTAAAAAAAAAGCCTGATTTCGTGTTCAATAATAACAGTTAACAAACCACTGCTGACAACCTAGTTGTATCCAGGTCTGACAAACTTTATGCTGTTTGAACGGCAAACGGACAGTCAACATAGTGCTTTCTTGTATTTGTTATTATTTTTCCCTATTCGCCCTTTTATGCACTCCCTTCCATATGCACCCTGATCTAAGTGATTTGCGATAAGGCGGTTTTTTGGAATTCCAGTTTTCGGTGAAAATTAATTACTTTTATGGCAGTAAATGTTAATTTGTAAACCCTTCCTTCTAACAACGCAGCGTGGGAGGATTTTGCCTTACTGGGATTCTCATGTTAGTCTTGACGTTTCCTGAGTTATCACACACCTACTGTACGTTTGCAAAACACTGATAAAAAAAACCTCGTTGCAAAAACCTCCACTTTACACATCAGGAAAAAAACAAGTACTTTGTATCCTTCCCTAGTGAGATTATCGACGGGGCTCAATCAAACCGTCAGCATCAAGAACTAAAACCGATCAAGTCCACCCCTGCATCCGAAAGCTTCCTTTGATATTTCCAGTCCAGTCCCCTGAAGATGTGATCACTACTGCGTTCACGGCAGCCTGTCCTACAGGGTACACAGGAAGGCTATGTCCGTCACATTGTCTGATGGGCTAATCGGTGTGTTCCAATGGGCTATGCAGGATTCACACTGACTCCTGGCGTGTGTCGGTCAGGCCAGATGGGGATTTGCGCGGTTCAAACCCTCTTCGAAAGATTCAAGCTAGTATACAGAAACATAAGTAAAAGCTGCATATAACCGTTACAGCATGGGTGGGGGCGATTGACCGGTATCTGTATCGTAAGTAGGGTAGTTTACTTTGAAGTCAAATTCATGGACTACTGGGCTTCGGCGGCAGATTGTGGGTTACTCCGCTAAAATATGAATAGTTCGGCTGAAGTATTCATATCATCTTTCGATGAAAACCCTAAAAAGGCTTGTCTCGAGTAAGGAAGATGAGTCGAGCACCGGAACACTGTTTATTGTCCTGAGCTTTCAGACTCGTACAGGAGTCCATCGCCAGAGGTAGCAGCAGCATCAGCAGAACAAGCGACAGTTATAAGGCATGTAGGCCAATCATCAACCGACGGCGAACAACTGGAGGTGACTACGCAGGGCTCTGTACGCCGACGCCAGATCGATAAATCAATTGACCGAGTTCCCATCCGAGGCCCAGGCTTCAATCAATTCTCGGCCTGTTTTGTTTCCGGCGTGGGCGTCTCGAGAACTCTCCACTCCACTCCCTGGCTGAAGGGGCCAAGCACTGAAGAATCTCGGCACTCATGTAATACCACTCACGTGGGAAACCCCGAAGTAGCCTTGATGAGCCAACCACGCGTCGCTACTCTATGCAACTGAACAAAAAGCAGCCAGCCCCTAATTCCAGTTTTTGGTCGGCACATGTTGAGGGGCTGCCGTCTCTGTGTAAAAGCACAACTAGTACTCGGTGCAATGGCATGAGGATTGACCAAATCCCCTTAAAAGGGACGCGAAATGGGATAATGAAATTCAGAACATGGTGGGGAGGGGGGAGAGCGTTAACCAATCACACACTACGAAAGAGGCTCGTCTTGTTGTGCCTCGGGGCTCAGTCTCGGCGTCGGTATTCCTTCGCATAGCATGCGTGCGGCAGATGTTTGGCGAAGGTTTACGTCACGTCAACCATTACGATCAATCTCACAACTAGTCGATCAACAGGCTCGGATAGGTCAGTAGTGAGTGGGAGAGGGAGGCCGATGCGAAATGCTACAAAAGGCGAGCTAACTCAATTCTTCCTTGGGATGCGGGTCTAAATGCAACGACCCCTTCTTAATGTGATCTGCTTGGCACCCATCGCGTACGTGGGATCAGAAACGTGTTAGTGTGAAAGGCGTTGGAGGGAGGGTTCACGTCACTTCAGGAACAGCGCGCGATCTCATTCCCAGTCGACTGGACTTTGGCAGGTCATCGGCACCGATGAAGCGTTTAAGCACCTCAATATAAACACCCAAACTCACTCCTTAACTATCAATATGCGTCAAAGGTTGTGGCCCACACCAAATGGCTCAAGCGATGACCTATGGAATGCAACCCCAGATGCATGCAGTCCTTGACTTATCTAGATGGCATTACGAGAGCCAGTGTCGAGGAAAAGGTAGTCTTTATGATTAATGGCTTTCGGCCTGAAAATACAGACTGTTCGCTATTTTTTGCCGCAGATGATTGCTGTACTTCTGAGGGGAACGGGCTAGACAACCACGGCTAGCCATGGTCGCTCCGAGATAAGCGAACTACGAATCCGATATCTCATTAGAGCAAATTTCTTCTGGTCTCTCAAAGAGTGTAGAAGAAGATTCGGTTTCTCTGAACCGGCACGAGATGCAGATATTCTAGTGGAAAATTAATTGCCTGATAAAACCATCTTCCTGTCCATGGAGAAGAACATTCAGGAAAGACAGCCTGTTGTTGCGTTGGCTTTCCATTGCCAATTTAATCTCGGAATGCAGGCTGTTCATAGCAAAAACTTAGGCCCGGTCTTTCTCTTCCGCTGTCATCGACATATGTACACTAGACGTGCCATCTCATGAAATGTTGACCGAAATTCTGAACTTTGTTTTCGATTCAAACAGATTATTTACGTAGGGTCAGTTAACTGGCCAAATGTCAGTGCCTTGGATAAAAGATGAATTTGCGCTGCAGCAGGAGTCTTTGGGTGACCTTCAGTTTTTTTGAGCCTCGAAACATATCAGGTGGTCGGTACAACGATGATGGTCGGCCGCAACTCCTAGGAATTGGAGTAGGGTCACTACAGGCTAAGGTGTTATGGAGAGCTCCGGACTGGGGTGCCTAAACGCGAAAAAGGAGACACAATGGTTGGAACGAAAGCTTTATTACCCTGATTCTCACTCGAATCCATCATCAGAGACAGAGTCAGAAAAGGGTAGTGGATTTTCCAGGTGTTGCAGTATTTATGGACTGTAGTCACTAGGCCGCTACATGCCTACCACAGTTTGCAGCTTCCGAATGCATAACGGCTCGACTGGCCAGGTGTTGAAGTATGCAGTTGCCATGCAGTTGCTACGTCCCTGTGTGTCGGGCAAGATTATCGGTTCCCACGCTCATCGCACACAGTCGAGTTGCTGATCGCCGGATTACGCCATCCGTGTGAGCTCTTGGGCAATTTGGCTCGCCGACATTGACACCAGTGACAGTGACCATCCGCACTCTTCCCTCGCGGCTAACTAATCTGCCTAGAAAAAGTCTCAGCGCCGAATATGGAGGAGGTCGTTTCGCTTATTGATTGATTGAGGACCGGAAATCCATGACGCGAGTGGTTCGCGTCTCACGCAGTTGTCGTCTCTAGCATGAATTTCTGCTTCGTCAAACTTAAATGCGTGGTTGGATCCCGTCGAATGAGCCGCAACTTGAGAACTGGCGTCATTTCTCCGCACCGCTGCAGCGTGTTCGGCCATTTGCGTTCGGAGCTGTCTTCCGGTTTCTCCGACGTAGTTGGTGTGTCCGCAACCACATATTTAAGTTTGACGAGGCAAAAATTCTTGCCAAAGGCGACAACGGCGTGAGCCGCGAACTACTCGAGTCGTGGATTTTCGGTACTTAATCGATAAACAAGCACAACTACCTCCCAGCTCCATTTTCGGCGCTGAGACCTTGCTTGGGCAAAGAAGTTAGCCACGAGGAGAGCGTGCGAATAGCCGCTGCCCAGGAGTCCACACGGATGATGAAATCCGGCAGCCAGCAACTCGACTACGTGAGATGAGCGTGGAAGTCGATAATCTTGACCGGCACAGCGGGGCATAGCAACGGCATGGCAACCGCATGCCTCAACACTTGGCCAGCCGAGCCGGGGTGGACTCCGAAGCTGCCAGCTGTGATATGCATGTAGCGGCCTAGCGTCTACAGTCTATAAACACTGCAAAATCTGGCAATCCAGTACCCTTATCTGACTCTGTCTCTGGTCTTGGATTCGAGTGAAAATCCGAAATGTCAGGCTAATAAAGCTTTGGTCCCAGCGATCGTGTCTCGTTCTTCGCGACTAATTCCTGGAAATCGCCTTTCCGCTTCTATTAGAAAACATGCGCAAAGATATAAGCTCTTGCACTTATTTGGTAGCCAATTGCGTCCTATCCAGATTTCTTACTTGAAGAGAGAGAGGGAGGGGGGAGAGGGAGAGAGAGAGAACCTTTTGCTTTTGAAGTTTTTAATTATAGGATTTTTTAAAATCGAGAAATGCCCAATTATCTAACAGCGTATCAGCATGTTTATTACCGCTACTTTTAGATTATACAACCTGGTCCACAATTTTATGAGTCCTATATGACGTCTTTATATCAGCATGGAGAAAAGTATGACAGTTCTCTGACTGAATATGCATACAGTATATGTAATTTGGAAACCCCGAGTATACGTGTAACGGCATGTGGGACAAAAAAATACGTAATTTGCTACCAAAGGAGCACCACTGAGAGCAGTTTTGTGCATGTTTTCCATATAACATGTTTAAATTTACAAAAGCTTCGAAAATCAACGGGAAAAATCATGCTACGGACAGCCAAAAATAGGCGTGACTGAAATATCTTAGCGTTTTGTCGTAGGATAATAAACATTACAACCCCGCCCACGCAATCTTTTTTTAGAATGGAAAACGTATTTCAGAATTTCGCCTAGCATTTTGGGGTGTCTTCACGTTCAATATTGACGCTACAAGCTTTGGTAGGGGGCGCTCACCGATCGGTCATACGGAACTCACTCGTTCCGTTGTGCCTTAAGGGCTCTCTCTCGAGCCCAACCAGCAGCCGCACAGCGGCGCATGATATATAGGCAGAATGTCGGTAATACCATTCTGGCTACAAGCTTTCTTCTAGGTGGGCCAAAAATGCCAATAATTGCTAAGCCGTTGCGAAATTACTTGGCACCAACGAACTCTCCTGTTCATGCCAAACTGTTTCAAATTTATCAAGGAGCCTCGCCCTGAGGTATTCAAAACTGTCTACTTCTTCAAGTTGACAACCATCAATCCCGAGAAATGCCCTCTCCTGGTCAGGGATGCAACTTGAAGACACTTTAGTCAGTTGGTAACTTTCCAAGCTACGGCTTTTAACGCACCTTGACAGCTTTAAGCGCGTCAGTGAGGGATATGTCCTGAAACCGTCGATCTCACCCTCTATTCCCATTCCCAGGCCTCAGCCACCGTGAGGGACGTCAACAAAACAGTGCATGCATATGAGCGAACGTCTAACAGGACAGTGCGCCATAATTAGATTTTCCGGTATGAGCTGTTTTAAGAAATACAAAGTCTGTCGTACGCTTTTGTCTTCTTTGCATAGGCCCCATAATGACCCTATGCGCTGGGGACAAGAGACATTTGCTTTTCTAAAATTCTCTACGTGCACAGGAGGAGACATCTCCCACGGGTGGTAAGCAAGAAACACGGGAAGCCGAATATGTTATGCAGACGAGAGGGAGGACTAGTTGCTGCTTAAAATTCCAACAGGACCGCCTACCTGCTTCTTTGTGTTGTTCTCACACATAGCGAGAAGGGAAAGACCGTCCGGAGACCAACCGTGTTGAGCAGTGTGGGCACGCAGGCGACGAAGCATGTCCTTGGAGCGCTTCTCCAGACGACGTTCTTCAGCCGCCTCTGCGGTAACGGCTGAAGCAGCGGCAGCCGCGCCCTCCTGGAGGTTGGCATCGCCGATGAGGTCGTCGCCGAAGGTGCCCCGCATGTCCCTTTCGGCAAGATCATGCTCCAAAGAAAGCACGTCCTACAGGAAGGAAGGGGTGCAGTAGATTGTAACAGTAATTGGTATTTCCAATCGTGGCAGACAGGACAATGGGTTTCTGACCCACCGAGGAAACGTCAGACCAAAGCATTCGGGTTCAAATGTCAGGCTATCCAAGTCTGGAATTGCGTAAGACTGGCTGACGACGGCTGGCGGACCAGAAATGGTCGTCCCGGTATCCCTCGTCTTTGTCGATACTCCCTTTTCTGCATATATTACCAGCCGTTATACAACTGTTTGTGCTAGCTCATGACGTAAAAGGGTTAAACGCATCCCATAACCAGACCGGTTAAGGCCCTTCCAACCATGTAGAAACTGGACAATTTTGTGCATATGCGGAGGGAGTATAACTTCCAGGTAATACAAGGACATTTTAAAAGCGGAACGTCAATTTGCTGCTGAGAGCACGCATATATCCCCTGAGCCTCCTTCCTCCAGTCGCCCCTCGGTGTTTGGACTGAGTCATTGACTAACTAGACTTCTTGATCTGACCCCGGGCTGACCACCTGGGACTAGTAGACGGAACTTAGTTGTAAGCGAGATGAGTTACCAACAAAGACAAGGGAGGTTGGAATTGCCATCTCTGGTCAAGTTGCCAACGTCAGCAAGCTACACCCGAGGACCTCCTGGCACTGGTGATCCAACATTTTCGTTCAACGCTCTACCAGGCCGACAGCCATTCGCAGCAGTCGGAGTCACACAGGAGTTGCGTGTCGGAGCTGGTCGCGGAGCGAGATGCAGAGATGGAAGGCAAAACTGAACGTCGGTATTCTGTCCTGTAATTATGATTTCAGTGGATAACAGCCCGCGCCACGGTTTAGTGGCCACAGAGCCCAAGGCTTTCCGGTTTGGAATCAGGGTATAGCTGGCTGAGCCACGGTTTTGCATTTCGCCGGCTTCAATCAGGACGCAAGTTCTGGCTGAAATCACTTTACTTGATCCCGTTGTGAAAAATTCGGCAGTCTCTGTGACATTCGAACCCGCAATAAGTGTGAGGTCTTGAGTACAGCCACAAGGCCCCGTTCGAGATTTGTGAGTTGATAATTTTTGGACTCTATTTAAGCTCTAACTTTGCTGTTGTGGGTTTCAATTTCACCAATGTCGTTAAATTACCCAAATCTGTAAAAAAAACACCGATTAAAACCACTCGAGCAACTCAGCAATACTCTCAAGGGCGCCTATGAGAGGATGTCAGATTTCATTAGAAACAAACGTTTTTTTATTGTCGTATGGAGTAGAGCTCTAGGTTTTGAAATTGTAAACGAAAGTCAGGCTGCATCTGGGCTTGGCCTGACATCCAGATGAGCAGTACCAACCACTCGCGTAAGGCATCAGTTTAGCACAACTTTTTCGCAAAATGATTCTTCCTCAGGTCAGGGATTTCAGAGCACCAATCTGCGAATGTCTCTGATGACGGATTCGAGTGAGAATCCGAAACGTCAGGCAAATAAATTTCTTGTTCCAGTGATCACATCTTCGTCTTGTGATCTGCTACCTGGAACTCGCCTGTTCGCTTCTATCAGCAATCTTTTTAGGCACGAGGCGCTCCGATCGGCTAGACGGTGGGAAACCTTTGCCCCCCGAGAGTCGTTTACATATGCGCAGCCTTTATCTGCGAGTGGCTCTGATTATGGATTCGAATGAGAATCCGAAACGTTAGGCCAATAAATTTCTTGCTCCGGTGATCGCATCTTCGTCTTCTGAACTGTTGTCACTGCCTGCAGCCCGAAAACTTTAAAACTCACTGCTGGAGCTTCAGAGAGAACACTTGGCGGTGGGAGATAAGGCGTGTCGATGAGAGGGAAGTCGGCTCCGCCATCGTCTAGGTCATCGCTCTGAACACTGGCGGGCTCAGGAATGTCGGTGGGCCTGGTGGCAGCTCGGTCGACTGTGGCCAGGAAGGGATCGTGGATATTTTCATTGGTCTGGTCAATGTGGTCGGCTAAAAAAAAAGAAGGCGGTGCATGCGGAGGGGTTGGAATTTTGACAGACCAGCGGCAGTGGCTTCAGGTCAGTGCAATGCAGGTGTTAGCGAAACCTAGGCATCAACCGTGATACGCGTGTTGCCGGCATCGCAGGGAATATAATTCAGCTGAGTTTCATAACCCCGCATTGTCCTTATGTCTAAGTACTTACCTGCAAGGTAGCGCTAGGGTACGATGCCTTAAGTTATGGCGGATAGCAGTCGCTACATACCGACAACTTTTCTACAGCACCACTTGTGTAAATAATTAAGACCGTCTATTCTGGGAGTTTTCGCCAGATTACTGAACCGAGGCCCCAAGAATAGGGAAATGCGTTCTACTATCTTACACTTGCTAACGCAGCCGATAAATATCTTCTTTTCAGTAGTTTTGGATAAACCGAAGAAATGGATAACGTGTCAGTGAGCCCATAAGCGCAGTTTCCATTGAAGAAAAACAGGGGCGACCCGCTAATTGATTTTAAATATTACGATCAACGCAGATTGCAGGGCCTCATGGACTTCGGCAAAATTTGGATTTTGGAGGAAGAAAGGAAAGTTAGATGAACCGACGAAATCAAGGCAAGGTAAGAAGATGCACGCGCAACACGAGAAAAAACATCCATGCTGAAGCAGTTCAGCCCGATTTCTTCGAACGACAGTTCGACCGTCGATTTCGACGATATCCACCGCGTGCTACACACAACGGTGCAATAGGCCCGGTGACTTGCGCGTGAATCAGTTTGTAGTGACAGTGGACTTGCGTAGCATCTACCGCACTCCCTCCACCTCCTCCATCTGGATCCGGTGTAAAGACAGGGTTAAGAAGAAACGGGGGACGGCAGGAGTCCTAGTGTGCGCTACGTCTGCCGGCAACCAATGTTGGCATTTGTTATGGTGCGCCAATCCGATAACGCCTGCCAGATTCCGATATGGCCCCCGTGTTGGTCAAGCGCATCTACCACGTGGCCCGTTTGGGCGGCACGTAGGGAACCGGTAGGTGGTTCCTAACAGAGTCGAGTTCAAACCTCATAAGGTCGCGCGGGCTACGCTGTCCTGGTCCATCACAGCGATTCAAAACTGTTCCTCCCCCCACCTGTAGTGCAGGAGACTACTCTATGTGTTTCAGTTCCTGTAGGAACAAGTCTCAAATCGTCGGTGCCCAAGAACTCCGTCTTACAATCTCAGAACAGCTGCCTTCGCTGGAATAGGGTCTTGAGAGTAAAACGGGAAACCGATGGTTCCGCACACTGTGACGCTTTCAAGGCTAGGATCCATCTGTTCGCAAAGGTCTTTTGTCACCTAGGATCCTCGTTTCTCATAATCTAAGCGGGATTTTAGCTATCAGGACTACAAGCTTTGTGAACCGTGTTGACAAACTGAAAATATACATGGAATGGCTACTGGTGTAATTTAAGTAGCCTTAAAATTCGAGTGGTCAAGGTCTTTTTGGAAAAGATGTTTGGATGATCATTTGTGGCATTTTTAAAACCGGACCGCCAATCGAGAGGGATGTCTGATTCTAACACGGGCCAGTCGCGTTACACCTATCCACAGGCCCGCGGCCTATCAAGTCATATTGGAGTGACGCTTGATAAAAGGCACCTACTGGCCCCCGACTTCCGAGTTTGTCTTAACAAAGGCCGTACACCATGGAGCAATTCATAATGGGATGGGCCACAAATAAGGAACTGAAGAATGATGAGTCCATCTAGGCCCCAGCCTGACATTCGCATACATTACCGATGCAGTTAACTGGCAAGTTTGAGAACTTCTGGCTTGAAAATTGTAACTCCACTTCCACGCCACTGATTTCAAAAAGATGAGTTGCGTCCAATTATCCTGATGCAAGCAGATAATCACGCTATCTTTTGCCCCGATCATGCGTGAATAATGTTTACTGAGTTAGGCATGGGAGTCGAGTCGAAACATGCGGTTGGCTGTGTAATATGTTGGAATACTGGCAAAGTATGTCTCATTCACGCTGGACTATTAAGATAGGAGTTAAAATGATATTTGGGGGAAAGTAAAGAATAGCCCAGTAACTGTACCATGTTGTTCACCGATATGTGCACCCGCCATGGCGAACGGCCTGTCATGCACCAATTTGTTAGGATCGCCTTGCTGGACTGAGAAAGTACGGTGATCTGAAGGATGACTGGAAATCGTTTCTTCAGTCCCCTCCGGAATGACGTCGAGGCCTTGGTTTTCATGCTGAACTATGATGTTAGTAGTCGATTGATACGTTGGTGTTCGCATCATATCGCGCGAGGCCGAGAAGGAAGACTGCAAATCCGAGAAGCACAGTCAGACCAAATGCGACGTAGTCGATCGAGGTATTTAGAGAAACTTAACTAAATAATGCATTCTTACCAAGACGGTTTTACGTTATGCGATGCAAAATTGCCTATAGGCACGGTATTGATAACCTGAATTCTTTAGGCTTAAGCGCTTCCAGAGAAAAAAAGTCTGCACCTGCTGGTCGATAGCTAAAATCCGTATGACACAAATCAAGTGGCTCTGGTAGTGTAGGGGGAGTCGCAATTCAGGGCAATCCGAACGATGTCATTCCTGTTTTATCTAGGCACATGAGCAATCAAAATTGGCCACTGAAGAGGCGATTTGGATTAAGCGCAGGGTGGGATAAAGAGGAAACAGTGCTTTACCGCAATCGAAAAGCTTCTCCTAGAAAAAGTACCATGCTCTTAATTGTTCCGACACAATGGATCGGTATTGTCAGTACAATTATCAAACTTATATGGCAAATGGAGACTTCTACCTTCGAAAACATTAATTTGGTGAAACCACCTAGGCAGTGTCCCGTCATACAAAAAAGAACAGCGGCAGCATCGCAGAATTGTGCGGGTCTAACGCCAATTCATCTTATCAACCAGGGTGCTGTGAGAAGAGGGGAAGAGAAGTTAGAACATCCGGAAAGTTAGCCCCACTGAGTGCTGACAGTTTCTGCACCAGCCACGTGTCATGCTAGCATAAGCCCCTGACTAAATTCCATCTTATTTACTACTTTTCTATTTCTCGTCTTAGTTCCAGTACGCCAACTGTAAGATGGATAAAGCCCGATTATCGGGCGTCCTTGTTCTGATTCTTGAATCCTGATTTGTTCGTACTTCCCCTCTCGTGTGCCTGCTACGGTTCTAGCTACGACACCACTACGTCACAGTTCAGATGGAACGGCGAATCATCGATATGGTGTAGCCTTGAGTTTCAACCGGGTAGATAATTAACCGAAGCCTGTGTGAAGAAAGGGATGAAACACTGCAGATAATGCAGCGATGAAGGGAACTGGCAATTGTACGGACTTGTGGTAGATCGAAAGTCTTTATGAACAGTAGACACATGCAACGGCGCCAAAAATTCTTGGAATGCGGCTTTCACAACCAAGTGCCTTCATTGACTGACAGCGGACATAAACGGCTTCAAGCGGGAGGACGAATTTTTTTAGATAGCACACAACTTTTGTTACTAACAACTAGACCTCCAAATATGACCCAGTGTCTGCATACTGATGAGAAGTTCGGAGTCCTTGGAAAAATCGATAAAGAACGAGGAAAGGGTGCTGAAGACCAAGATGTTTGCAGTAATCTCTTATCACTTCAGTTACAACAGCATGACCTCGAGGAACATGACAGACGATATATATAACTTAATTAAACGTAAGACAAAAGTACTTTTAGCGGGAAGTGTCCTAGGGGAGATTACTGATGAGAGAGATAACTCAAGGTCTGTTTGATCGTAGTTAATTTACTAGTGTCCACCCTCGAGGAAGCCATGTCAATACGCGCATTTAATAGTCTGAATCGTATGCACAGAGGATGATGATGGTGGTGGTGGACAGTTGGACCGCAGACAGCGAGGAAGTCCGCCGTGTGCTCCACGGAGTGGGCGAGACACCGGCGATTTGTGCAGCACCTGCCACATTCTCTCCTTCGTAGATTTTTTTGCTCTGATGTCAAAACAGTGCCAAAACGATCGGAGGTGGGCTCGGACGCTGAGAACGTTAAACAGTCTATTACGCGTGCCGCACACGACCTGGTCTCTGCGGCTCAGATATAATGTGAGTGAGTGCATAAAGGCCACACTAAGGGACCGGAAGGCGCAGAGGCTAATATCAGGGAGAAGGAGGTTAAGTGAATTACGGAAGAGTGGCAATCACCAGGTTAATATGACTGCAGAGCGAAATATGGGAATTATTTTTCGCCCTAGAGCTCACAGGACACATTAAATGGTCATTTCAGGTTTATTTGTGGTCGTCAAGGGACTATAGCCCAGTTCCAGATTGGGAAGACCCGATGTTTGGTAGGGGGTTCAGAGGATCAGTGAGTTACATATGGCCGATTTAGTCCCCTACGGTAGTATGTCCAAATAAAAGGCGTCAGAGCAGCATTTCAGGCAACAAAAGAAGGTAGAGGGAAAAACAACCTGATCCTCGTTCAGCGCAGTGCTGGTAAAGGTGACGCCGACAACTCCGGCAGTTATCTGGGTAGGATAGGTTGGATTTAGGTGCTCCTCGTGCAAGTCATCAGGTATGGCCTGGGTGATGAGGTTGCGTGTGAACATGCGTTGAAGGATTCGTGAGGGAATCGCCCGACCCGGAAGGGTGAAGAGCTTGTCTAGACTGCCAGTCTCTTTCATATGCATAAGACGTTTTGTGGGTGGCGCCAGATCGAGTTGTGTAGTTATGTCCGTGGTGTCTTGCATCTGAGTCTTCATGAGTTCACTAGGGATGGACTTCTGCTCATCTATTATTAGCCTCCTCTTGCGTTTTGCAGCGCTATGCATGAAAAAACGGCAGAGTGAATTAAAATATTAAGCTAGAACCTCCACACCGAATTGGAAAAAATAAGTCAGTTTTGGCAACTCTAAGACCAAAATCAATCTATAACAAAATTATAATCTCGATATCTAAATCTGGGGTTATTCCTGAAAATTAGTTGAGGATTCTTGGGAACCGACTGGTGAATCGAATCTCTCGCAGGTCGCGAAACCCATTCTTGGACTTTTAGGTAGTACCCTTGATCTCCGTGTGGTGAACCACATTCATGCACAACTACGTGCCGTGACAGTTAGATAGGGTGCAGCAACTCGGGCTACAAACGTGATGATTAGATAAAAGGACTACAGAAAGGCTAGTTAGTAAGTTACCGTCGCGGTTCAGTGGCGGTGACTGTGACGTCTATTGGCAGTAGTGCAAAAGCTTCGCCCTCATTGGACAACAGGGTTGTGTTGTCTTTTCCGAGATTAGTCCTGGTCATCGAGGCGGCTGTAGCTGATACCATCATGGCGGAGTCCTGAGCATGTGCAAGATTGACCTGCGGCATGAGGGATCCGTTCTTCTGACCATGATGAACCAACACTTCAGCAGTAGCCATACTTGTGATCGGCACCCCAGCGGCGGTCTCGGTCGTCTTGTCACCCACCTCTGCCAGAGTTCCCTCGCGCTGTATTTGCAACTCAGTTGCATTCACGTGTGTATTGAATTCAGAAGCAGCAATGTTTTCCAAGTCCTTCTGCGCTGATGGGTCCTCGAAGAGGTTTGGGCTGGCGAAAAGCGAATGGACAATTTCACCGCCAAAGCTGCCATCAGAGTCGTCATCTGAAGTTCAAAGAAGGCGAAAGTTGCAAATTGGAGGTTTGCAACAAGGTTGGAATAGCTGCGACTATCGCATGATCCACCATGAAGAGCAATGTTAGATATAACGCAGTGACTTGTAGTAATTATCAACAGTCCATTTATCTACACAGCACTCTACAGCAATAACAATTACGTGGATACTATTGAACCTTTTCCTCAAAGACTCAGATAGGCCTTCCCGTTGGGAAATGAAAAGTTGGCCACTTAAGGCGCCCCGGAATCGCAGACGGAAAGCTAGACAAACCTATCTGCGAATCTCGGCGACTGTTTTTTCCTCTATTCTTATCTTTCTGGTTAAGGTCCTTGTAGTTAATCTTCTCTAAAGCATGTCGGTATCCTGAAACTCATATAAACGGCTCATGAGAAAGGCTTTAGAAGGAGACGAAACAAATAGGGTCCAAACTATCCGAGAGGTGACGAGGAAGTCCGAAAGCGAACCAGAAAAGAACATACCGTAAAGAGCGCCAGCGAAACCGTCATCTAGATCCATATCGCCATGTGCCGAACCTCTGGCAGGTGTATATCCTGAAAGCCTTTTATCAATTTTTCCCCGTTCGTCCGTTGAACCCCCGATAAGTGTATCATCTGCGTCGAGATCTCCCCGAATTGACGGCCGATCCGACGGACGTACAGAAAACCGCCCCGAAGCGTCGGTTCCACGACCATAGACACTGTCAAAGCCGACGTCTCCTTCTCGAAGAACTTCCCGACTTGAAAGCTCGTTAAATGCCGAGTCTCCGAAATCATCATCTTGCCTTCCCAAATTGATCTCCCCAAAATCCTCGCGCATTGTGATGTCTTCGGGCCGACTTTGGTTAATTGTCATAGTATTAAGGTTGATCGCGCTGAAAACAGAGATTGGCAGTAAACAGCGTACTTACGTCAAGTCAGCCATTGTAGCTTCATAATCCTGAATATTTTCAGGGAGTGTTATCGCGGCGATAGCTGCCTCACGGTTGGATTCGTCGGGAAGGTCGACAGCCCCCGGTCTAAACGCTGTCTTTATTTTTACGTATATTTCATTGCAGTCAGCAAGCAAATATTTAGCCTTTCGCGAGTATATTCTAACGACGCCAAGCAGCAAGTGGCCCGAAGTTCGAAGAGCCATTTTCAGCTTCGGTTCTAAAATAGCCTCAACGCTCGAACTGATATTCGTCTCGAAAACATGAGCACGTGTAAGCTTCTTGTCCCAGTGAGCTGCCAGCCAAATCCGAGCAAGCGGACCCTTCTTGCTCAAGACAAAATGCGCATAAAACATATTTGCGCCTGCAAAAAATCGCAAATTTGTTTTCTAGTGAGGCGCTGAATAATCCAAGAAACTAAAACAAACGCCCATTCCAGTAAATGTAACCAAAATAGTAATTAGTCATTTTGCCAGTTATATGCACAGAGTATATGCTCATCAGCACTTTACTGCTTTTGCGACAGGATTTAAAAGGTCATAAGTCCCGATGAGGCGCCAGACAGCTCAGCAGAAATTTAAAAATGAAATTGCTTGACGTACGGCTGTTAGCAGATGAACAGCCGACGGCGGCCAGAAGCGACGCACTAACGGTGCATAGCCTGGAGCTGCAGGAAGCTCCGAAGACTTTGGCAATTCAAGGGCAGAAAAACAGAAGAAGCTTATATCTATAGTGGATTGGAACTTTCAATGCGTAGACCAAGTGACGTAAAATGGGATTAACTGGCAGACAAGTCTGATAAGATGTGAGTAACTAGAAAAAAAACTATGTAAAACGCGTGACAAGAAAAAAAAAACAAGGTTTCGTTCAAATGTAGTTTGGATCCACACTTATTGCATATAAGAAACAATAAGTTCGTGTACGCTGCTATGATGGTGGCGATCAGACTTGGCTGCCGACATATTGAGTCGCCGTTTCCTGATTGCATGATAGCCTGGTTCTCGCAGAAATTTACGATGACTCCTTAACATAGGTGCCTGAAAAATGAGGCGCAGAGGTCCTGTCGGCGCAAGCAATGTGCTCAGATAAAGAATGACTAGGAGCACAGAAAGACTGCATTAGATAAACTGATGACCGGAGAATTGTGTTGAATAGGTGATAAAAATTGACAAATATGGTTAGCACCTGTCAAAGGTATGACATTTATATATGATATGACATTTCGACGTGTATGCACACCAGTTCCAATGGGGTTTTGAATCTATTGATGGTATCAATGGGGGGTATGGCAGTAACAGTGTAGTGATCATGAGGATGGAAGATATTTTCAAGTGCGGTGGACGAGTTTCGGTTAGTCAAGGAAATTATCAGTCGGTTCATCATATCATTTCATGCGTTGCCCATTTCCAGCCCGACTTGATATCTTTAACGGAAACATGGTTAAATGCGCAGATAAAAGATGTGGAAGTTATGCTACATGGTTTCCAGATTCTCCGAATGGACCGAAACGAACGAGGGGGTGGGGGATTGCGATATTTATACGAGATGTCATCGACTACGTCAGAGTTGAGCCTTCCCCATTTCGACACATTGATTGTGAAATACTCAGTTGTTACCAATAGAAGCGAAGAGCCGAGTCCCAGGAAGTAGTCTTGAAGAAGGAGACACGATCGCCGGGACAAGAGCTTTATTAGCCTGACGTTTCGGATTCCTACTCGAATCCATCATCAGAGACAAAAGAGCAGAAACGGGTGGTTGTTGCACAAGGGGCTGCGGTATTTATAGGATGCAGCAGCCATGCCACCGCATGCCTATGAACGTTCACGGCTTCCCCCTTCATCCGGGATTGTCACACTTGGGGTGATCATTGCTTGATGGCCGACATTCGAGTCGATAATTGCCGCAATTTCACCACGTGCGTTGGATGTTGGCGTGATGATTGCTCGACCATCTGATGCGTTGACCCAGGTGTTGGGAAGAGTGTTCACCAGTGCGCTCCCCGCGTGGCCAATTACTCCGCCTAGACGAAGTCTCAGCACGCTGTATTGAATGGGAAGATCGTTGCACTTGTTGATGGACTGGGGGCCAGTGAACCATGATTCCAGTAGCTCTCGGCTGACTCGGTTGTCACCTCTTGCGAGAATTTCGGCCTCATCGAATTTAAATGTGTGGCCGGATCTCGTCGAATGAGCCGCAACTTGAGAGCTGGCGTCATTTCTGCGCACCGCTGCCGCGTGTTCGGCCATTCTCGTTCGGAGCTGTCTTCCGGTTTCTCCGACGTAGTTGCTTTGTCCGCAACTACGTCGGAGAAACCGCGTGCTGAGACTTCGTCTAGGCGGAGTAATTGGCCACGCGGGGAGCGCACTGGTGAACACTCTTCCCAACACCTGGGTCAACGCATCAGATGGTCGAGCAATCATCACGCCAACATCCAACGCACGTGATGAAATTGCGGCAATTATCGACTCGAATGTCGGCCATCAAGCAATGATCACCCCAAGTGTGACAATCCCGGATGAAGGGGGAAGCCGTGAACGTTCATAGGCATGCGGTGGCATGGCTGCTGCATCCTATAAATACCGCAGCCCCTTGTGCAACAACCACCCGTTTCTGCTCTTTTGTCTCTGATGATGGATTCGAGTAGGAATCCGAAACGTCAGGCTAATAAAGCTCTTGTCCCGGCGATCGTGTCTCCTTCTTCAAGACTCAGTTGTTACTTGAAAGTGCCAAACCATCCCAGCCTCCATATGGCCATGGTTTACAGACCGCCAAGCCGGCGGACGGATGCGGCCGATGCACTCATCACCGAGGTAAAAGAAACTTGTCGAATCAAACACATAATCCTACTTGGTGACTTGCCCAGACATCGAGTGTGATTCGATGCATTGCACGCGATCAGAAAACTCATCCGAACAGAAATTTATTCAACTGATCACAAATGAGTTCCTTACCCAACATGTTAAAGTGGACACTCGATTCAGAGATGGACAGCAGTCCAGTTGTTTGGACCTCATCATCACTAGGGATAATAGTTGCATTCTCGGATTGGAATCACACACGCGCCTTGGCCGAAGTGACCACTGCGTTCTTGTCTGGGAGTATAGTCATTTTTCTGTACCCGAAATTCGAGCTGCTGAAGAAAGAAATGTATGGAAAGGGGATTATCCCCGAATGAAAAATCTGCTACAGAAGTTGAATTGGAATGCAGCACAAGGACCTGACACAAAAAGCGATTGGTTCTTCTTCAAGAACATAATGCAACACCTGGTAGAGAGCTGTTGCCCACTGAAGAGGAAGATGCGCACTTCCCGACCAGAGTGGGTGACGTCAGAAATAAAGAAGAACCTTAAATTGAAACGGAGACTTTGGAAAAAGTACGCCAGATGTCAACACCCAGAGCATTTCGCTGACTTCAAAAAAACAGAGAAATGTATGCCGGAACCTGTTGAGGAGGGAACTGGCAGAATTTGAATCAAAACTTTTAAAAAATATCTCGCAAAATTCCAAAAAATTCCTTGGATACGTGAATAAGGCGAAACGCAACCGGGACTGCATTCCCTGTCTAAAAGATCGCCGGGGAATTACGTTGACTGACAATTCAGATAAGGCGAACCTCTTGTTCGATTTCTTCACGTCCGTGCATACCGAGGAGCCGACTTTTGGTGAAAGAGTTTTCCCCCTAATTGTCAAATCAAACAATGCAAATAGCACGGTGGACTTCACAACAGACACGGTAAGGAAAACTTTGAGTCAGCTACAGCCCACTAAATCCCCTGGTCCGGACGGCGTGTTCGCATAAGTCCTGAATGAACTCTCAGACCAACTGGCCTCTCCGTTATCTAGGATCTTCAGAACTTCGATGTAGACCGGGGCTGTGCCTACCGACTGGAAGAAAGCAAATATAGGCCTCATATATAAAGGTGGCGAGAGAACAGCCCCAAATAGTTTCAGACCAGTGAGTTTCACAAGCATCTGTTGCAAATTAATGGAAAAGGTAATAAAAACGGAGCTGATGCGGCATCTTAAAGAAAACGACTTGCTCAGTTTGCATCAGCATGGATTTCGAAGGGGTCGATCCTGTCTCACTAACCTGCTATTATCCATGGAAAGCTGGACGAAATCAATCGACATGGGCTTATCAGTCGACGCCGTGTATATTGACTTCAGAAAGGCTTTTGACAGTGTTCCATACAGACGACTAATATTTAAACTACGTCAAATGGGTGTGAGTGGAAATCTGTTGAGATGCTTAGCCGATTTTCTTACGGGCAGATCTCAGCGTGCGTGTATCGGAAACGCTAAATCGGAATGGGCATCCGTCCACAGTGGCCTTCCGCAGGGGAGCGTTTTGGGTCCAATTCTGTTCTTAATATATGTGAACGACTGTCTGAACTCTGAACTGCGAGCGCGTAATGTTTACCGATGATCGCAAATTGTGGAAATCAATAGAGAAGCCGGAGGACTCTGTACAGTTACAAGAAAATCTGAATCGCTTGCAACGGTGGTGTGATGAGTGGTGTCTTAGCCCCAATCGTAACAAATGCCAACTTATCCGATTACGTTTGAGCAACAGGAGGCTGTTGAGATCTGACTGTAAGTACTTTATAGGAGGTCACCAACTGGAATCTGTCAACCAGTTAAGAGACCTCGGTGTGTGGATGACGTCAACTCTCAAACCATCGTCTCACTGCGCCAAGGTATCAAAGAAAGCTATGGGTATCCTACGCGTGATTAGAAGATCCTTCCTCAATTTTGACGAAGAAATTTTCGGCCGAGTATTCGGAGCAAACGTTCCACCAATGTTGGAATATTTTATTCAGGTATGGTGTTCCTTGACGAAGAAAGATTATGCCCTACTGGAGAACGAGACGGCAGGAAAAGTTAAAAATATTTCCTCTCTCTTACAGACAATCCAAAGGGGATATGATCATGGCCTTCAGGATCGTCCGAGGGCTAGACTGTGCCCTTCAGTTTGACGACTTCTTCGAACTGGCGCGGACGACAACTATTCGAAGCCACCAATACAAATTGAAGACAAAATATGCCAAACTCGAATTGCGGGCCAAATTATTTTCCTACCGGCTGGTTGAGGGATAAACAAATTGCCGAACTCCGTTGTCTTAGCGGAAAACGTTGAAACCTTCAAAAGAAGACTAGATAAATGTATGCTTGATGGCCAGACATTAACATTATATAAATGACTGGCATAACTGCTATGTAAATATCTGCATGTTTTTTTTCAAATGTCTATCTGTAAATAGGGTTTTCCAAGGCTCTGCTTCTATCCCTCATATATACTGAATTATACTGAATGCGCACGGACTCCAACAGATGAGGCGACTAGAATCTTTATTGT